TCTATCTGAACTAAGATTTAACGTTCCTTATCCTATGAAATTCTGGTGTGATAATCAATCAACCATCAGTATAGCCGAAAACCCAGTGCATCATGACAGAAAGAAACATGTGGAAATTGATTGTCACTTCATTAAAGAGAAGATAGATGACAAGACCATTAATCTACAATATATTTTTACTGATATTCAGACTACAGACATTCTTACGAAAGCACTACCAACAGGAAAATTTGATGACTTTGTATCCAATTTAGGTTTACTTAATATATATGTGTAATCTAAATTGAGGGGGAGTGTAGAAAATAAATATTAGATGGTTAGAATTAAAGGGTAGAATTGCATTTTCATTTTCTGGACAGGTGGAATTGTCCACCACCAACAGAATTTGTTATTTTTGCTGCTTCCGTTTTTCATTCTGTTTTGGGGACCACACCCTAAATTTTGGTGTCATCTTGGCTGCTGAGTGCTTATAAAAGGCACATCTCCGTCTCTGTGTAGAGAAAGCAAGAAAGAAGAGAAGAATTTCTCATTCTCAGTCTCACTCAAATTTGCTTCCATTAAATTCTTCAAGTAATAGTTGGTATATCGATTCATTTCTCAAAATCATTTGCTCTATTCAAGTTGTCTTATCCTTTATTTTGTTTAAAGTCATATAGTTTAGTTAACCAGCTAAGGTCATCATCATCATCCTAATTGTTATTATTATTGTTGAAAAATCCTTCAATCTTCTATTTGTTTAAAGTCATATAGTTCCAAATTTGTAGGATACTGGTTTGAGAATCTCATTGATATGGATATTTTATTTGATTTAATTTGCTGCACTTACTTTTCTATTTCTCTTTATAAAAGTTATATTTACGGTACATTGTGCTCCTCAATATACAAGAAATTCAATTCTTCTCTAATTTCTACATGGTATCTCAGAGTTCTAAGCTCTTTTGTAGGTTTCTCTCGGCCATCATAGTTGTTCATGTTGTTTTTCTATTAAGAAAAAAGAGCCAATAGAATTTGCAATCTCATTTCCCTGAAGGCGCTCCAGCACATGTCCGTCATAACGCACGTTTTTTCTCTTTCCATGTAAATGTCTAGACCAAAGCTGGTCCCAGCATATTACCTCCTTTGCTTTCATCATTTTTTTCTTCATGACTTTCATCGTCGCGTAGCTGACACTGACCTTTACTTATAGCTCCCTCACAGGACTTGAGTTTTCTTTTTGCAGCCTTAATTGCCAGGATCTCTTGCCAAACATCTCTATTCTTGGATCCTTACAAGAGGAGAGTAAAAACACTCTTGACTACCATATTTTATTATTTAATTCTTTTATTTTATTATTAGTATTATATAATTAGAACTTTCTGAGAATAATAATTTTATATAATTAGACTTCTAGTAAATAGAATTTTCATATCTGTAGCTTTGAAATTTATAAATATTTAAATATATACAAAGAGGGATAGATAAATATATTTCCTCCAAAATCA